TAGTTGTAATTCTTCTTACCATATTTGTTCTCTAAACTCCAAAAATCTAGATGGATGCATTGGTCACCGACAGGCTTTGGGTGTAATTCTTTATGGAAGACTAGAGAATTCACAAAGCTTTACAATTCTTGTTTTCAGTGTATGGTCTTTCTGCCCTTCAATTACTAAACAGATGGAGGGGCATGCAGGCCAAACTTGAGTAGTTGTAATTCTTCTTACCATATTTGTTCTCTAAACTCCAAAAATCTAGATGGATGCATTGGTCACCGACAGGCTTTGGGTGTAATTCTTTATGGAAGACTAGAGAATTCACAAAGCTTTACAATTCTTGTTTTCAGTGTATGGTCTTTCTGCCCTTCAATTACTAAACAGATGGAGGGGCATGCAGGCCAAACTTGAGTGACAATGTAACACCAAGCACCAGGTTGTAAGCACCAATCACTCAAATTTGGCTTGGTGCCATCCCACTCCTGTTGTCATGATGGCTAGGCCAGCCTTAAGAGCTGCTGTGACCCTTTGTACCAGGTCACAGTATACAGAGCAGGGAGTGAAGCTCAATCCCACAGAGCAGGAGGCACTGCTGCAGGGTGAGTTTATTTAAATCAGACAAACAGAAAAACCGTAAAAAAACCCCAATAACCACAAAATTTTCACCACTGTAATGAGCCTGCAGCCTAATGATAGATTATGATACTATATGGTACTAGATAGTCTTACCCTCTGGGAGGAGTCTTTATATGTAGATGCTGCCAGGAGTCAGCGCTTATTACAAAACCAGCTCAGATAAACTCAACTGGTGGTTTCACTTTTGGAGAGGCCACACAACTGACTTGCAAAGCAAGCTTTAGCTGCACAGGTAAAGTTGCAGAAGGGAATAGAAATAGTTTCACAGAAACTGATACAATATATTTGGTTCTACCTACAGCTCTTTAAAAAGTATCAAGTTTAGCAAAATTTAGCTCAAGATAAGAAATGTAGCAAAGAGCACATGCACCCAATGCTTAACAAACTTATTTTTATCTGGTGGCCATGCCCAAACTCTACTTCCTCTTCTGGATAATCAAATGAAGAGCAACAACCAATCTCAGTACCAGTGAGAGATAAGTTAGCCCCTTTGCCTTTTGTGAATGACCATGTGAAGACAGGTACAATCATAATTATTTTCCCAATAGACTTTCAGGACACTTCCCTATTTTCAGGCTACTATGCAGCATCATAAAGCAAGAACAGAAAACTGGTGATTGATTGACTTTATGACCAACATGTTTACACATCACTCAAACCAGCAAGGAACCATACTGAGGGGAAACAATATAATTATTATGGATGCGGATGGGCAATGGCAAGCTGATTTGATAGACAAGCCCAGTAGTGTCTAAGCTGTACATCTGTAGAGGGATAAATGTGCTGTCTTCACCTGGCTGGTAGTCAAAAGGGCAAATCTGAATTTTTAAATTAAAAAAAATGTGTTTGAAAACATTCATTTAGGTTCTTTATCCTAATACACTGATTCCCAACTGTAGCACACATACCGCTGGAGAGACAAAAGCAACCAACTGGTGGTACGTGGGTTAGTTTAAAGCACTGTTTCTCAACTGGTAGGTCACAACCCCCTGAAGTGGCTAAGGAAGTTAGTTAAGAGTGGTTGACCTATTTCACCCTAAAGCAAAAAAAAAGCAACCCCACCTCCCCACCCCCCAAAAAACACTTCGCTCCCCTTCTGCTGCCAAACATGCTTTCCCTTCAAGGTCAAGTATATTCCATCATCTCAAAACACAAACACAAATAAAGTATATTGGCTTATTAACATCCCTGATATAATCTGTACTCCGACTCTTACGGTAAACTTAAGATAGGGTCACAAAAAGGGATGACAAATAAGGGATGACAGACCTGTAAAGGTTCAGAAATGCTGCTTTAAGGTATATTATCAAAGTGAGAGAAAAATTATGAAGGTGGTGATATGCCAAATACTTTTGAGTTTTATGCTACATCACAAAGACTGAAATCTGCAGCTATAATGAATCTTTGTGTAACTGTTATTTAGTGTATGTTCAAGCAACTGAACACATTTAAACGCCTCCATTTTCCCACACTGCTGCGTAATTAACTAACTTCAATTACTACAACATAGCAAAGAATACAGTTATAGTCTTGTGACAGAGCTTATCAGAGGTGGAAAGCAACTGAATAAATTTAAAAGAAACTATTTTGACCAGGGAGAAACTGCAATAATTTTAAAATTGGTGCAATATTTGGTGTTATTGAAGAGATATTTTAAAGGAAGCTGCACCGAGATCTCGTTAGCAAGATGAAGTAACTTCCTGTCATTTTTTGAGCTACTACCAAGTAAAATGTAAGTATTTTTACACTCAACTATAGAATGATAGCAATTAAATATGGGAAAGGCCAATTAAATCTAACATACTCCACCTGCCATCAAAAAGAATTTCACCATCTGTATATTATCCAGAGAAGTTAAAAGATCTTGAACATTTATCCCTAAATATGATGGTGTCTGACTAATGCAATTCTGCCAGCAATCAGCTGCTAGACTTTACAGGATTTCCCCCTACCACTTCTTTCCAACCTACAATACACTAAAAATAGCTTAGAGCCAAGTTCCCCTTTTAGTAGAGGAAAATGTTTTCCTATCAGTCTACAATAGATGCCCTTAAAACTGTTCTAATTGTCTTTGTTACTAATTTTCATTACTACAGCACTCCTTAGGTATTCATAAACCAAGTATAAACAACTTTGGGGAATACTGCAATAATGTTATCTAGTTACAAATGGAAAAATGCAAAACGGTTTACGAGCCTATTTTCCCACCGTATACATAAAAAGTATACACTACATATTTCCTTTGTCTGACATTCACTTCTCTATTCTATTATGGCATATATTTGTTCTCTTGGGTGCAAATCAGAATTATGGTAATAATGTTTGGGGTTTTTTCACAAATTAGTTCAGCTTTATAATAAGACAGCATAGTCTGATCAGGGAACTTTTTAAAAGTGGGAGTTAATTTTGCAACCATTTCAAAGCCATGAGAAACTCCCATAGAGATGAGAAATGGAATGCTTTCCTCCACGCCTCCCCCCTCCCACCCATGTTCATGTTTAACAAAGAGGAACTAATTTCTTTTTTCCCCTCCAATATCTGGAGTGCAGATCTAGATAGTATCAAATGCAATCAAGAAAACACTATGCAGCACAGCGTCCTGCCTGATAGATCCCAGTACCTTCAGAAAGTCCAAAGTAAAGACAGAACAAGGGGACTTCAAAGAAAATTGTCAAAGAAAGAACTTTGCTGTACTTTCAGGTGGTCAGAACTGAATCTTAGGGGAGAAAAATCACAGGAAAATATTTAACCTATTGTGTCTCATGCATGGGTCTTTCCCTGTCAAGTGCTATCAACTCAGATTGATTTCAATGGGCTGGGGAGGAGGATATATCTTTCAGAGGAGGGCACTCAGCATTTTGTAGGACCAGGTCATGCCTAATGTAATTAGGAAGAAAAAGAAATCTCAGCTTTCAATTCTCTCTCACTGCCATTGTGTTTGTCAGGCTAAAGTCTAATGCAACTTCATTCATCCATCTATAAATCTCTCAGAGATAAGCTTCTGTATATAGGACATATAAGTCTGTCACTGCTCCCCTCACGGATCACTTGTGTAAAATCACCCTGAAAGAGGAAGTGGGGGGGGGGGGCAAGCTCTACAACTGATTAATCACAAACAAACAGCTTTGAAAGGTTGCAGACTTAGCGGAGGGAGAGAGAGGCAGTGCTGTAGCAGGGTTCTGTCTTACCGCATGACAAAATCAGCTTGATCTATTTGTCTGCCACAGCCACTCTTCTTCAGAATCCCACCGTTTCCCACCACAGAGCATTTCTTCAATGGGAGCTGGAAGGGGGTCGCCTAGCAACAGAAAACAAGGCCAGTTTTTAGAAGAGAACACACACACAATCTTTCTTTGTAGCAGCCATTCCTGAGGCATATGGGGAACTAGGGAGGGGATAGGTCTTGGGATAGAGACAAGAAAAGGAGAAAGAGGAGGGTGAATGAAGCTTGGAAATTAGTCCAAAAGTATGAGCCAGCTGATTCCCACCCCCACTCCCAAAAGCAGACTCCATCAAAGATTATGCAGTTATTGTATAAAGCAGCACTTTTGAGTAATAAAGTCCTGGTGTTCACAAATGACTGTGTACTGCAATGTATTTTTTATTCAAATAAGAAAGGCAGAGTACAAAAGAAGAAACACAAAAGAATATGAGAGATACTAGGTAGATGAACTAATATATTTTATTGGCCAACTTCACTTGGTGGAAGAGACAGATTTTGGAACTTCACAGAGCTCTTCAGATTTTGGAAAGGTAATACCATTGTTAAGCATAAGGAGTTAACACAAGTTGCAGGAAATCACTTAAAACAAAGTAGGCAATTAATATCTCTGCGATCAGAAGACAGAGGAGGGTTAGCGCATTGTAATGAGCCATGAAATCAGTGTCCAGAGGAATTATAGGTTTAAATTCCCCAGCTCGTCTTTTGAAGGAGTGGGGCGGGTTTCTTCTGAAGATGAGGACTCAGAGGTCAGATGTGGAGTGATCTTTGTGAAAAATGTTTGTTCTGGGATAATAGGGTGATTTTGTCTGTCATTTTTCTATATGAGTTCATTTGAAAGCATATTGATTGTCTGGTTTCCCCTACATGGTTGTTTGGGGCATTTGATGTATTATTGGATGAGGTACACCGCATGCTGTAATAGGTATATGTAGGATCCATGGATCTTGAAAGGTTGTCTCTTCCACCAACAGAAATTGGGCTGATCAAAGATATTACCTCACCAACGTTATCTCTCATATCCTGGGACCAACATGACGACAACACTACAAACAAAGGAATATGAAAGGCACCTTCAAGAGATTATAGACAAAAGAGACATGGGGGAGGAAAAATAAAGAAGTGTGGTTCTACCAGGGTACTGGGTGCCAGGGCTTCTCCTAAATTCTATTCCTGGCTCTAGCATTGATCATTCTGTGTCCTCAGGCAGCACCCTCAAACCTGAGCCAATCAATCTTAGCATAAATTAAAGCTAGGGAGAAACAGCCTTTATTTACCAGTGGTATAGCATCCCTCCTAGAACTTTACTAGTGTATCACAATGCAGATTCAAAGTACTGATGCCACGTGTGCAGGAGAGCATGACAATGAAAATATAGACTAGTAGTTGAAAGCCTCTCACACACGTGTAATTCTTAAAGTTACGTGTAAAAAAAACCCCACAAAAATGAGGGCTCTAGTTTCCATGCACAGTGTTATAGTGAGCAACCTTGCTGTGGAAACATGTTCCCCAATTTTTTTGCACAGAGCTGCCCCCTGGCTGGAGGCACAACCACCTCTTTGTTACCCATGCAGCTGTATCTCCCACCTCTTTTGATCAGCTGTTATGTTCCAACTGCCATGGAACCTTTGGATGCCAATATTCCATCTGGATCTCACAGGGCCTAGTGGTGACTGAACCATACAATATTTCTGAATATAACCATGGTTGTAGCTGTTTCCATTCCTTTATGCTGACTCAAAAGACATTCTAGGCTTCAAAGTGATATTCCAAATAATGATGCTGGAACCTTATGACATATTTACTTTCATTTTGCAGGAAACAATTACACATAGAAAAGTTCTTTCATCTGCCTCTGAATTATCCACCTATTCAATCAGTTACGACAGTCGTTTAAACAGCACACAGTGGCACTATCCATCAGTTCAGCACAGGAAATAAAAAAATACTGCTCTGAATTGAAAATACCTGGGGAATTCAAAGTAGCAGGATGCAATTACCATTCCTAGAATTTTTTAGAAAACTGAGGTTAATAGTCTCTTTTTGTTAAAAAACAACAACACAAAATATGCAATGACTTTTACCTATGAAAGCTTTCAGAACCTCTTTCTACAATGAAGACAGAATCATTGTCTGCATCATACCTAGTGAATGCAAATGTCATGCTGCTGTGATGGAGCTTCACAGGACAATTATTTTTCCCTGCAGGACAAATCAAAATGGTGGCAGCCCTAAGTATTGAGGAAATGGGAGGTATAGTGCAACATTATGCATTGTTGTTATAGCTCCATAGTGTACACACCACAGATAACTGTGCATGGAAGTACGGAGATTTGCCCCAGAGTTTCAGCCTGAATTATGAATGTGTTGGGCTTTTCTGCTTTAAAACCATTATTTTGTTTTTTTCTCTGCAATTAGCTTTTTTCCCCTCAGCAAACTAGATTCTATTCAGCAGGTTATAAGGCATCACCTGCTTTATAATGAAGGATATAAAAAATGTATATATGTTAATCCTGGATTGCAATATGTTAAGGAAGAAAAAGCAGTTTTGGTTTACTGATGTTTCACTACTGCAAGGAACAAAGTAACAGCACAGCAAAGTGATGCTAAGTATGCAACCACATTCTTGACTGTGCATCTGCTTTCTCAAGAACCATTTTTAATGTACGTTTTTATAGAACTAGGAATGTATCTGACCTAAAAGGTGGCCCTCACCAAATAATCTGTAGGGTGGTTGAAAAAAAATGTATAGAAATTTGGAATATAAATTATTAATTTTATTTAAATATCTGTGACTTTCTTATTCAAGGTATCATACAGCCCTTGACAAGACAATTAATTACATAATGGTAGCTCAAGAATGACTTCATCACATAACTCCTCTTTAATGCATCTCCATAGGTGGCGAGTTATATGGGTCCTTACATGGGCTCAAGGTGCTCAGGCAGCATGAATATTCAGGAATGGAAGGGCGTCAGGTAGAGTGATTCCACTCCATCTAAGTTAATTGCAACATGATGAATTCGGAATCTAAGAGCAGCACAGACTTTGCAGCAGGGAGTTTGTTTATAAACAGAGGCAGGGTGATTAAGGTAACAAAAGGATTGTTATTAAAGTGAACTAAGTATCATTAGATAATCCCCAAATCATTGTCAGGGACTCCAGTAAAAATTAACATATACTTAACATTTAACATTCTTTAAACTAAAATCCAAACCACCTGATTTAAAAAAAATAAACATAAAAGAGAATAAGCTCTAGAAGTAAAAAGAGGATGCAGACAGAAGCCCATCAACAGAGTAGGAATTGCCCTGTTTATTGCACCCAATGTAGCATGTATGATTACCCGCCCTATAGGCAGGTGGCATATGTGTGCATTCAGTGCAATGAGCTCCTGGCCCTCAGGGTCCATGTATATGCTCTGGAGACCAGGGTGGCTGAACTGGAAGAACTAAGACAAGCAGAGAGATACATAGATGAAACTTTCTGGGTCAGATAGCCTCTGTGCTGTTGAGTAGGCTGAAAGTCTCTGGGAAGAAGATCATTCAACTGGAGCAGAGGGAAATGATACCACAGTTGGGGCCTTCCTTCCAGATGATGTTGTGGTATCCTCTTGCACTAAGGATACCACTCCACTGAAGGGACGTCCAGTTATTAGGAAGAGACAGGTGTTAGTAATGGGGGATTCAGTCATTAGAAATACAGAAGCTGTGTTTCTGATGACCAGGAGAATTGCATGGTGACTTGCCTATCTGGTGCAAGGGTTGCAGATTTCTCAAGACTTCTAGATAGACTTATGTGTAGTGCTGGAGAGGAGCTAATGGTCATAGTAAATGTAGGTACCAATGACTTAGGGAAGGATAGGAGAGAAGTCCTGGAGACCAAATTTAGGCTGCTAGGTAAGAGATTGAAATCCAGGATCTCCATCATAGTATTCTCTGAAATGCTTCCATTTCCATGCACAGGACCAGTTAGACAAGCAGAACTGCAGGGTGTCAATGCACGAATGAGACAAACAGTTTAGGGAGGAGGGATTTACATTGATTATGAACTGAGGAAATTTTTGGGAAAGGGGGAGGCTATACAGGAAGAATGTGCTCCACCTAAACCAGATAATTAGCATCATTCCCCATACTAACTGCATGCTGTCATGTTGTTTTAAATTCCAGATCTATTTTGGTAACACCACCAAACACAATAACAAAAATAAAATCCCACAAAAATTTAAAACAAAAATAGAAACCACCACATGGATTTCCACCATTTATGCTCCACACTTTATTTTTTGGATTTCTCTCTCTGAGATCACAAAAGTTGACTGCTCAGTTCTCAGCCAATTTTGCTTAAATTCTCATATAATACGGGACCTGATTTTCATAAGTGCTGAGCTCTTGAAAAGATCATTTAAGTCAATAGGAGCTCTGTGTACTTAGAACATCTTAAAAAAAATCAGCCCTAGTTGCTCTTCTGTTTGGGTATCCAAAAAGGCAAGAGATAAGCTTTGTTTTAAACGTATAGTTACAAAATCATAAAAGCACTCATTACAATTATCTTCATAAACTTTCATTTAATTTTTGTAAACTAACAAACCTAAATGTTGGGACTAACCTATCGGAGGTCCCTTTAATCAAGATATCTATCATATAAATGTCAGAAACACAGAAGGCCTACCCTTTTCCACTGGTTCAAAACCAATGGAACTCTATATATGTTGGTGAGGTCTCGCTGATTGACCCTAATATATGTATGAGAAAAATCAAGTCCAAAATCAAGGGTGCCATTTTGGGAGAGTAGCAGGCGCAGTAGCCGTGCATTCCAGGATGCAGCTTGCTTTTCTTCCCTTTCCCTGGACTATCAGGGAGTGAGGGGAAAGTACTTGCTTTTCTTCCATGCCTCTCTCACCTGACTGGTGAAGGGAGTTCACCAGTCAGGTGTGAAAAGCATGCACAGAATGCAAGTACTTTCTCCTCACTCCCTGATAGTCCAGGGAACTGGATGAAAAGCAAGCCATGTCCTGAAGTGCATGGCTGCTTGCCCCTTTACCCTCATGCAAAGGTGCCCTTGTCCAGAATATCTAA